AATTCAATCCTGGGGGTGAGGACCTTCATAGGCTAGGTATTGACAGGGACATCTCTGTCGGCAAAGCAAAACCACTGTGGAGGAAATAGACTCGTACCTACTACTGTTGAATCCTATGGTTAGGTTAACAGAACCCGAGTAAGTAGCTCTTGATGGTGTCGAGGTGAAGTGGAGGACGAGGAGTGGAGTATGAGGACCAAGCAGGCCTTATTCTCTCGCAAGGCCAGCGTGTACGCTAAGTTGATCTGGTCCGGAGACGCACTATCCACAAGACTGTGGAAGGATAGCTGAGCTCAAGCGATGTGTTATCGATGCAGAGGCAGCGTATATTGTGGAGCGTATCAAAGTGGTCTGTTGAGAGAAAGAATAGAGAATGCGGAGTTAAGGGTGGGATAGTGACGGACTAACAGGGCCGTACAAGATGACGATTGATAATGATTCGGCTTCCTTGACCAACAATGTTGAATGCGTCATCAGTACAAGTTGCTCTCGGAGCCTTACTCGGGCTCACTAGCACATGCTTATACCCCTTGGGTTAGTAAGTATAGGTCAATTCCCGATCGGCTGCACGTCGGTCCAATCTACAGACTATTCGGAGCTCTGACTGACTTGTCCCAAATCGAATAGGACTGTATTAGCCGAGGAAACCAGAGGAAGGACATATTGGGTGCGCGAGAGACGAGGTGTTGTGCCACCAAAGAGGAATTTGTACCGCGAAGAAAAAAATTTTTGCGAGGAAAAAATGGTACGCATCCCCGCCTCATTCGACTCGTTCCTGTAATTTATGGCGCGCGCTCATTTTTTCGCGCGTAGTGTTACGTTTGGCTCATCAATGCACGTGATGTTAGGATGAGCGGAGCGAAGCCTAGCGGAGCGTAGCATTGATTGCATCAAAAGTTTGGCGATCGGCGGCGTTGCTCAGTATCGTGCTGACCTAATCATCTAACCTTGTGGGTTGAGATGTTTCAAAATGGGTCAAAGTGGGTTCCCGGCCTTGGCTCTATCGCCACGTGCCTCATATCCTTCTCCACTTGTTACAAGGTGGTTGTTTCTTGGGTTCTGCCCCTTTTTCCGCTCGAACGGTCGCGATCTGTTGCCTCCGGGATCTCCCTCACTCAGCTCTGTCCCGTTTTATGACAACCATATCTGACCTTTCGGCTCAGCTCCACCCGCAGTCCTCGGTTACCGATGCCCTGCATCTTCTGAGTACTGATTCCGAGTTGACCGAACTCGTCCTCCGCAACTCCTTCGCCGCGACCGTTCACACCTTGGAAGATATCCACCTTCTCGGTGGTCCTTCTTACGAGAGTCTGTTCGGGATTTCCTCTGACGACTGTGCCCCCGCTTTGAAATTGGTCGTTCGTAAGCTTATCCGCATCGCCTCTGCCTTGCATACTTCTTCGGGTGCTGCTCCCCCTGCTACCACTTCTCTCCCCGAACAAGACACTCCTTGGCTTGACAGTCTCTCTCACTTGCTCACTCTAACTCCATCGCCCGGTCGTATCAAGCGTCAGGCGCCAACGTTGGCTGAGCTCCTCGGTGATCGTGACTCTTTACGTGGATTGACCTATTCTCTTCACTGCCCCCCCGATATCCTCATCGACATCATGTCTTTCCAGGATGTGGATCGCCTCCGTGTGCTATTCTCCAAACCACTACGCTCTTACTGCTCTCTCGACAAGGGCTCTACTTATGCTGATAATTCACTCAAGCTCTCAACCCTCATCCACTGCCTTCT